TCAAATCCGTATATTGAGCCGAATGATGAAGATTTTTGCAAATATGATTTCATTTTCAAAGATTTTCATGAAAATTTCACATTTGATTTCATTTTGATCTTACATGATCGATGATATTATTCAATTTAAATAAAACTGAGTAGGTTTTTTGATGCTCACTATATTGAATTAAATTGAACTCTTGGCTCAGTGTTTCACGATTTATTTGACAATATGAATAGTCAACATGTTTCGAGCGTTAGCTCATTTTCAAGACTGTGGGACAGTCAGTCCTGAAAATGAGCTAACGCTCGATACATGTTGACTCTTCATATCGTTAAATGAATCGTGAAACATTAAGCCAAGAGTTTAATTTAATTTAATATTCAATTATGTTTCACCAAGAGTTAAGCGAGAATTCAATCTAAGCGATTCTCACTATAATTAAATCAAACATAACAATATTCCGCCAAAACAGTGGCGTCATCAGATTTAGATATTAAACTGCTTATAAATTGAGGATAAACTGTTAATCATCTACAACTGATGAAGCCACTGTGTTGGCGAAACAATATTGTTACCTTCAACTTAATTATAGTGAAAATCATAAACTACTTAGTTTCGTTTGAATTATGTATTTAAATTTTCATCCAGTAACCGCCCAATCGATCAATGATGATATTATTGTTTTTAATTGTGTTGTTCTGTTATAATAAGTTTTTTTTTTTTTTTTATGTTTCATATTTTTAAAAACAATAAATAGAAAATTGAAACAGTTGAGTTAAGTTTCACTGAATATTTTACAAACTCTACATATGTTTCGGATGGTTAGTTCATCATCAAGACTATTCTCTTGATTGAGTACTCTTTAATGGTTTAACCATCCGAATTATATGTAGAGTTTGTAATATATTCAGTGAAACTTAAGTCAAGTGTTTCAATTTTTGATTTATTGTTTTTTACATAATGCTTCACCAAGAGATATGCGAAACCTCCGTGCCATTTAATTCATATGTTGTTATTGAGAAAACTTTCAAACTTGTCATGAAAATAAAACATTTCTAAAATTTCCGTACTTTTTGTCGTGCGTAGTTGCACTAATATTTGTATCATCACAAATGGATCCCAGAACAAAATCGAGAATCATAATCAACGATTACTTTAGATCATGTCATTCGTTTTTGTAACGAATTCGAAAAGTCTTGAGACAATAGAAAGAATAATAGCAATAAAATAATAAGGACAGTACAGATGAACAGCATGAAATGATATACGAGACCATCAGGACTTTCCATGCTTCCATGACATATTATTTGCATGAAATGTCGCGCATTCCCGTTTTGCCCCAGAGTCGTCAACCCCTACGGACTCGTTGATCTTAAAAATGGGGTTGTTTGGACGCCACGTCGGTGCCACTAACTGAGACTACTGACCTAAAATGGCGTCACATGATAAACATTCATCACCTTGTGGAAGAATTTTCATAATAACATAAACGACGAAGTTTGTATATATCGTCATTTGAAGATATCGCTTGAAGTGTGTATAACTTCAGGGAAGAATCTAGTTTTTTCATAAAATTGGGAGCGATTTATTTGTTCTCATGTTTTTAGAGTCTCACTGTTGAGACTCCAATAGTCATTATGTCTATGTAGGTAATTAATTGATGTTTTTAGTTATTTTATAATTGGAAGCACTCGTCAAATTCTCAAAAATTTGTCAGATTATGTTTCGGGCTTCTTTTCTATCATCAGTCATATGATAGAACTCTCAATAATGAGTCAGTAACTTGTCGATAGTACTCGATTTCGCTATTATACTAATTTAAATTTCCATTGTGGAAAACATGAGACATTTCCGAGTTTTTCTTCGTTGTAGGGGGAAATAATGGCAGAGCAAACAGTATATAAATGAATACAGAAACCTTTAACGTTTTCATGGGGTATAATGGATTATTCGACATGATCGCCGTTAAGACATCCAGAATGTTTCTTCATCTTCATTCACAAAAAAAAATTCGATATTTCCATGAACTTTCAAGTTTTTCAGAGTTTGTGATCATTCTGAATGAATCTTTTTATCGTTTATGATTATTGTTATTGATTATCATGCATAATCGTCAACTTTTATATTTTAATCAATGAATGAATCTTCAATTTCATTGTATTCTCTTCCCTTTGAGAACCTATTTTCCGAATGCTGGAACTGTTGGTCATGTATACTACATAAAATTCAATCTCTGAACTTCTTATCTTTGTTATGAAATTCCATTTTGAATATCAAGTTTGAAACCTTAATGAATAATCTGAATATATAACCATATTACACTGATAAAACAAGGATTAGAAGTCTTTTGAAGCTTGTATGTGTCAATATACAATCAGAGTTCATTTTTGTATGGATTGTTTTCTGTATATTAATATTCATCAAGAAATTCCTAATTGATTTCAGAATATAGTGAAAGGAAAATGTTGTTTTGTGGATGCTAACTTATTTCAGCACTACAAAGTTCTCCACTCATTATTATTTCACACAAATAACAAATGCATTATGGCGGTGACAAAATGAACAGGAATTCATTAACTTATGTAAATGTTAACACAAAGTTTAACTATATTCCAATTAGCAGAGACGTTTATTTCCGCTGAGTTTAGAACACAAATATTGTTTTTCGGTCGTCACTCAATTATTTATGAATTATTTCCCAGAGTTGTTTATTTCAGTACGGAATCGTGACAAAAGTCGTCTCTTTTTCTTCGATAGAAGATACGTACCACAAGATGAAAATTCTCTCCCGGTTGATCACGAAGAAATGATTATTACAGTTCTTGAAGTATGTCAATTGCATCCTTTGAATTTTGACAGCTCCTCGTGTTTTGATAATTTGATGGAGTTTTGACAGATTTGTCTTTCGATGGCATAGTGTTGATGAGAATTGAAATAAAGGGTATTTTTTTAGAGGTATAGAAATTTATATTGCAATAAAACAACGATGGATCATTCGATTGACAAGAATTGTTTTTTATTCGAAAGATAATCTTGTGGCATTACATTTAAAATATGATTTCTGTCATATGATAGCCACGACTAGCTTGGATGTAGTCCAATTTGGACGTCCAATTTTTGATGACTTTTTCCAACATTTGTGGCCGTATATCGGCAATAAAACGGCGAATATTGTCTGCCAAATGGTCAAGCGTTTGTGGCTTATCCGTATAGACCAATGACTTCACATAGCCCCACAGAAAGTAGTCTAATGGTGTTAAATCACAAGATATTGGAGGCCAATTCACAGGTCCAAAACGTGAAATTAGGCGGTCACCAAACGTGTCTTTCAATAAATCGATTGTGGCACGAGCTGTGTGACATGTTGCGCCGTCTTGTTGTAATCACAACTCCTGGACATAATGTGTTCAATTCAGGAGTGTAAAAGTTAATAATCATGTCTCTAAGGCGTGCAAGTATCTGTTCGTATGTGTAGGTTTTCTGTACACCGTATGGCCTGGCTTGTTTACTCACTAGGACGTCCAGAAAAGGTATATCACCATTGACTGTAACGTTCTGGCCATCATCGTTTTTGAAGTAGTCAATGATTCCACCAGCCCATAAAGCGCACCAAACAGTCAATTTTTCAGGATGTGACGGTGTTTTGACATACACTTCAGGATTATTGTCACTCCAAATGCGGCAGTTTTGTTTGTTGACGTAGCCAATCAACCAGAAGGGCGCTTCACCGCGAAACAAAATATACGTAAAATTTACATTATACTGTACATTATATACAAAAATATACATTATTTTTGAAATAAAATTGCAATCGTTGCAGGCATTGTTCAAGCTATGATGAATAGCCAAACCAAACTGAGAATAAATCACTTCTCAGCTGTTAAATCGGTCGCCATCTTCAACAATAATGCCAACTTAGAGTTCTATACCTCTGAAAAAATACCCGTTATAATATGCATTCACAACTGGCTATAAATATATTCTAGAAAATCATTCTGGATAATGCACTTATTACAATATGTCATACGTTTACGGGTTATCAAACCATTAAAAAGAGTTATAATAACAAATTAATTGAAAAAATAACGATTTGACTGTTTGATAGTGTGAGCATTTGTTAGACTCTTTCTTTTTCTTCATAAGTCGTGTTAAATAAATATTTTTAATGATGTGTTAGTGATTCACAACGTTTTCTACATGTTTGAGTATATTTGAATAATTTGACCTAGTATTTTGAATTTCAGTCGTAATTCTGGCGATTTTCTAATCAGTCGATTGCCTGGATTTTTTTTCAGAACGATGCAATTTCAATTTGTCATTCCGTTTCATGTTTTATTCGATTCTGGATATATTTTCATCCTCTCTGAATAATCCTCTATATAATGGAATTTTCGAATTCGCTGAAATAACCCGTCCTTTAGTCAGCCCTTTCAAACTGGTTTTTATCGAGAATTTCCAATACTATTTCGAAATGTGGCATTTTTGTTAAAATTATAGGAATTTCATTCAACATCATCATTTTCAAATTTCTGTATGAAAACTTAGCAGAACATACACAGAATTAATTGTTTCTATTGAAAATATGAGGATTTTCGTATACTTAACTTCAAATTCGAATGAAAAAAATCAATATTGCCGTCTGCCTATTTGTCGTGGTTCGTGTAAATTCTCTTCATTCGCTTATTACTCGCCCTGTTCAAATATTTTCGAGATATACAAAGAAATGAAGAAATTGACCTTTGTTTTTCACGAGAGATCTATTTTGGAGGCCATGCAGTAAACAGATTACGTATCTCATTAAAATTCCAATTTTTGTTCGTTGGTTTCGAATCATCGTCAAGAATCGAATTAAAATTGATAATTTGGCAGAAAACACCCCATAATGCCAGAAACTTGAAAAATATACTGAAATTAGGTATGAGCACAATGTTGAAACTTATATCCTCTTTCTTCAACATTTGTCAAGTGTGAAGGAAGAGATTTATTTCTATTGGCGCTGTCAAATTCCTGTACCGGCCTTTGTTACTTAGTTGGGAAAACACCCGACTATAGTGCGGTAGGATTCGGGATCGAGCCCCGATGAAGGCATGGGTGTGTATAATTGTCTATGATTCGATTAGTTAATTGAAGATAATTGTTGGGTAATATACAGTGATAACAAGCCTATTGGCCGTTCGGAACCAGCATAAAACTGTAGGTCCATTGAATTAAAAATAATCCCGTCGAAAAGTGTCTCAATATCTATGTATTTCAGAATATTTTGAATACCGCTGGAAATCTTTCAACGAATGTTGAATATAAACTAAAATTCGAAATAATTTGAAATTTTCATTTACGCTCTTTCAGATAACATAGCATGAGTATAGCATAGACATAGCATAGTGTTCTGGTGAAGATATATTGATGATATAATCACTTGTTTCACTAGTACCGATTTCTTCTCCAAAAACTTTGGAAATTTCATTAACGCAGTTCATCCGAATATGAAATATGCAACGGAAAGAATGTCTAATAGGTCTCAATTTTTTAGATTTGACAATCACAAGATCAAATAATAAATTTGTGTTATCAATTTTCCATAACGGATACCTAAATACACAACAGCTCATGTCAACCTTATTCACACAAAATGACAGCTTTCTACAGTGTGATACATAGACTAATAAATATTCCGTTATCATGAGAAAACTTCAATAAAGAAGTCATCATCATTAAAGAGATTGCGGTTAATAATAATTATGAGAGCGATCTAGTGACAAAAATTCTTCAGAAAAACCTTTATCAGAAAGCTGTACGATTACTATTTCCTTATCAGTCTGATAGAAGTCGTAAATATAAAAGTTTAGCATACTTTGGAACACCAAGTCAAAAAGTCTGAACCTTTTTACAGAAACATAATTTCAGTATTTCATTCAGAACAAGCAATAATTCATTGAGACACATCAAAAAAATAAAAGCAGAATTAAAAGAGAAGATAATTCTAGTGTTAACCAATTGAATTGTGGCACATGTTCCGGTATATACATAGGTAAAACAAGCAGATATTTCGGGACTAGAATCCATGAACATTAATACAGTTTCACATATAATGAAAGCAATTTTTAAAATGCAAACCATTTTTTGACAAGCAAACCACGTTTTGATGCGAATTTCGAAATGTTACACATATACAGAAAAGTCAATTAGATTTTTGTGAAACAGTTGAAATAAATCGCCACAAAATTCTGGAAATTTGCCTAATGAACAATTGAACAATTCACCGTTGTTAAATATTTTCATGCAATAAAAACATAAAATTCCCTCATTAATTATACCTGTTTTGACAAATTTTGTTGTTAGTCAGTATGCTTGTGGTATCTGAAGAAGTCGTTTGTAACGACGAACCGCGTCATGCAACGTCATATAATAAAAGTGTAACTAAAAATTCAAGTGTTTGAATTTTAGTAAATATTAAACAATAATGGATTTACATCAAGTAAACGGCAACACTATTCAATATTTCAATAAATGTGAATTTGAACGTGTTAAATAACAATATACTAGTATATTGGGAAAAATAACGAAGTTTTCGATACAATAGACATTCTTCAAGAGCCGAAGAAAACTTAGAGTCCGCGAATGTGTCTGAATAAGCAATTCAAAAGTGATTCGAAATGAAGTATCCATGGTGATTTGAGTATTTCAACCCAGCTGGAATGAAGAATGAACATATAATATATATTCATCTACGGTGAGATTACGAATTTCATCCTCCAATATGGTTTCAACGATCTGTCAGCTTTCTTTTGTCACGTGAAACATTTCACTCTATTAGGTACGACACTGTTAAATAAATTTTCATGAAATGACAACTCTATGATTAAAGTGGAGCCACAAAGCAGATAAGAGGCTCGAAATTTTGCGTAGACAAATGGAAAACACCTTTTACACAAATTTATCACCCACGTTCCATTGCGGGAAAATGCTCGATGAATTATAAAACTGTTTCTTTAACAGCCGTTGAAAGTGTGAATATATTCCATCTTTATGGAATATAGATTCGGTACACGTGTGTTCACCTCGAGGCTGATGAGGTAAACGAAGGTGAAGAGAAACGTTCTCAATGCGAGGGGATGTTTTTCCGGAGTTTGCCGTGGAAATTAATTTATTCACCATTTGTTCACTCTTTCACTCTAGTTATTCAACGTCCCTAACTCGAAATATGTTTGAACCAGCACAAAGATCATAGAATATAGCTAACGGGAAATGGAAAACCGAAATACACTTTTCAATCGCCTCGGGAATCGTGGCATGTGAAATGAAAATGATATTTATTTCGTAGCGCCCTTCACAGTAAGATGAGTTGATTCCATAAGCATTCAGTCATCATATATATACGTCAGTATTGCACGACAGGAATATTTAACACTTGAGAGAATATTCATCTTTTTACACAATGTTATATTGCTTGGACGTTTCCATTTTGGACGCTTTTCTTCCGTTTTGGGAATGAGAATTGGGGGGTGTCCAAATAATTGATTCGCAGCGGTTTTCGGTGGCACACATAACTGAATTTGAAAATTTCAATTGAACTGTCAAACAAATGATTTGAAAACATACCCAATCTATTGACATAACGAATGAATGGTTCATAAACATTTAAAATCTTCAAAACAAGTGTCTAGTAAATATGAAAACCATAACCGAAGTGAATCAAGATATAATCAATCATTTTATGAGTACAATTTATTTCTGATCATATTTTCATGTTTTCATATATTTTTGATCATTTCATTCAAAAATGTTATAAAAAGGCACAAATTTCGTGTTCCAAAATTGACGCAAGTTTCGAAGTGAATAGAAAAAACAGTTTGCAATCTTTTGATCGTAATTTTTCTATCGAATCATTATAAAAATAATGAAAATAAGTTCTTTATTCTCAACAGTTATAACACTCAATTACAGAAAATAATAACAATGTTGAATACATAACTAAATAATTAAAATAAAAAGATATAACAAAGAGCTTAATCTAATCTAAAAATAGTAACTTATAACTACATTATGGCATTCAATGTATTACAAAGAACTCAATCTAAATCAATTCATTTCAGTCAATTTTCGTTGTTCACATAACTCCTGATAATCAATTCTATGGAGTCAAAGTGAATGTAACAATTATTGGCAACTCTATTGAATGTAGACTCCATAAACCAAATGGGGGATTGTATCAGAGAGTGGGTCCTCGGAGTCTCTAGGTGGAATGATTCTGTATTACGAGAATTTTGTTTAGGAGCACGAAATTTCAAAGCAGACAAAAGAAGAGGACAATCAACACTATTGTGCAGTAATTAGTAGAAAAATTTGAGTGAAAAAGTTTCTCAACTGTTCTGCAATGAGATTAAACTGAATCGACTCAATAATCTCGTTATGATGACTCCTCTTTGTGAGAATTTCAAGAACCTTCTCTGAATAGCCTTAAGATGGCGTTGATGGCAAGTGTAAATGGGATGCCAGATCATGATGGCATACTCCAAGTTGCTACGGATTATGGTATTAAATAGTCCTATGAATGTTGGAGAATCATTGAAATACTTGTCATTACGTATAACGAATCCATATTTTTCGCAGCAGATGAAACAAGTTGGGTGATGTGTGGGACAAAGGAAAGCTTCTGGTCGAAGACTACACCAAGATCTCTCACCTCATTAGAACGTATCATAAAGTACATAGGATATGGTTACCGCTAGAATTGGGCAAATGTTCCTACGGTTTTGTATACAAATACACAATCGTTGTGTTGAAATTTTCAATGACCATTCTGTATAAATGTCGCTGAATTTCGTTGATGCAACGTTGAGATCTTCCTAAATACATACGTAGCTGTAGGCTTGTTGACATAGAGCTGAAATTTTGAACAACCCCATCAAAAAAATCTAATGGTGTTAAATCACACGATATAGGGGTCCAATTTTTATCATCGAGTATGTCTCATGCAGTAATTGAAGTGTTTTACAGGCTGTATGACATGTGGCATTGCCTTATTGAATCAACATATTGACCACATCAATATCATCCAATTTCGGCAAAACGAAGTTTGTTATCAAGTCGCATAAATGTCGGAAAATTTAAGTCTATTGATCTGTTGATAATGATCTATTTGATATTGAGAGTAATTTGAATCGACCCCTTAACTGAACGTCGCCCTTACAGAGTTTCGTGAATTGAAAATCTGAATTCGAATTCGGAGTACGAGTGCTGTAGTACAGCGGTGCGTAACATCTGCCTCAAATTGGACGTTGAATTTATTTGAACTTCAATTATTACAAATAGAGGGAATAATGAGAGAGTCAGAGAAATACTGCAAGTGAGTAAATTGATAATTTGAGAGGGATACGCTCTTTGCACACAGTAGATTATTTGATTAGATACTGTGGTTCACGAGTGTTGAAATGAACTGTAACCTATGAAATTAATTCAATCCTTTTATTTCATTCTTGAATTCAGAAGATTCGAAATTTGATTGAAGAAATTCGATAATTTCGAACTTTTCGTTTTCTACTTCAACTAATTCGATAATGTCAATACTCCTAATAATTTATCAAGAGTGAACAACTATAAACACTTGTGCTATATTATTCTATAAGTGGAAATATTGAACGATACTAGTATTGAGAATTCTATTTATGAATATTTACCAAGAGCTAACTGTTGAACACGTGGTTGTTCTTGTTGTTATTCGATCGAAGAGAGAGCGACAGATCGCTGAACATAGAAATGACTGTCCGAGAAGAACTCTCTGGTCGTGCCTACAACGGTTATCAACAGTCTCGTCGTTTCTCGGAACTTCCATAAACCATAGAGGCTGCTCCAGGGCAAATCTGTCACAATATTTTCAATTCAGATATCCTATATTGGATAGTGACACACTGTTCTACCTTCTCCCTAATTTGAGCTGGAACATTTATTCCACCTGATGAAGAATTGCTGAACGAGATACCTCCTACTATCTTTCATATATGAATTGTTTTGACTTTTGCTATCCTAGGCAAATGCTTTCTTTGTCAATGAGAATATTGCAATGTGAATTTTTTCACGAAAATAAATAT